GTGAAAGCAACAAAATTATGGAGCATCTAGAATGAGCAGAGTACAGTGGTAGGAGATGAAGGAAATAGAGAAATAGAGACAGATCCATGTGGTTCTGACCTTAAAGGTTCTTGATTCAATTGGAGAGAAAGAATGAATTCTAAATGATTAAATAACTAAAGTAAAAAAATGGCGTCTTATGACATTCAGAAAAGATATATATATATATATATATATATCTCTATATCTTCCATGAAGTGGGGTCTCTTAAAAGTAGTGGTTTTGGGATTTAAAGAAAAATCAACTCTATCTTGAACCCAGCTGGGCAAACTAGAGTGAAGACAACACGGTGTCTTTCTCCTTGGTGTAGTGGTATCTGAAAGTCTGAGTGGGTGGCTTTCCCCTGGTGGGCATAGATAAGATGTCTTTGCATCAGGAGGAGAACTGCCTGTTTCAAATGAGTTATTTAGTTCACAAGGTGAGGCAATTATTCCCAGCGCTCACTCAAGCAAATTGATGAATCGAGGGTGAGCCGAGTCAACGCACTGGCATTCACCAAACATAGATTCAGATTAAAACAGAATAAATTAGTTCCTCTTAGCTTGCCTCGAGTGGGCGAGCTGAGGAAGAAGAGGTGGTGAGGTGCACACTGAATGTGAGCTACCTTCTGTTTTCAGCCGAGGATGCAAAGCAAAAGATGGAATATAAACCGACAGTGAAGATGAAATTGTAGCTTGGTGGGGAAAGGAGTTCTGAGAGCAACTCAATTTCTCCCTCAGAATTGTACCAGAATAGCACCAACTCTTATTTGCATAGACTGTTCTGGATGTAGACTTTTAATTTATTGTCAGATAAAATACAAATACCTGAAGTCTGAGGGATTCCATAGCTGGAGGTTCCGATATGGGTTTCAGACTGTCACCATATAATGACAGCATTATATGGAGCTAAGACCGTAATTAATTCTTCACCACTCTACTCAGCCAGTATTGACAATGAGCCATGCTGTTATCTAGCATAGCTTGGCAGAGACTCTTGAAACAAAAGAATCCATAACCACATCTGACAGTCTGTCCAGCTGAGAGAATGGGGTGTCTAGGAAGAGGGCATCGTTTGAAGGATGGACATAGTATGGTTAATGCTCACAAAGCAAGCTCGGCCAAAGAGAAAGCTAGTCTCTTGGTGCTAATAGTCTAGCTTTTTTTTTTTTGTTTTTGTTTATTCAGTATAATTGTTCATAAAATAATTTGGTGAGGCATGCTACAAAATAATATTGATGTGCGTTAGGAGCAAACTTTGAATAAAGAAATGCCAACCTAAAGATGCAATCTTTTGTTGGTAGGGAAATAATAAACTATTTATGATTTTCTTATGATGTTTCATTGACATATGGTGCTTCTAACCCAGTGACAAATTAATTGACTGGGTTTAAAAGGAAATGGATGCAATTTAATGAAGAAGGACAGGATATGTATTACAAGGCAGCTGGTTCTGCCACTGCTGGCTTATGGAGACAATATACATTGGACAGCTAATGAGTCTCTGTTGCATAAGATAGATTCTCTTTATAATAGAATTGCACGCTTTGTCTCTAAATGGGGTTATTATACACACCATTGCACAATGTTTGAAGAGCTTGCTTGGCCCGTGTAGAGGGTTAGGAGAGAAATAAATTGAAAAACAATCGTACTTAAGACCTTCAATCCATCAAACACTCCATATTTATCTAAATTACTAGCACGTCCTCCCAAAATACAAATCTGTATGATACACATGGCTGGAATGTTAATGCTGACTGGTCTTCGTTTTGGCTTTATCAGTTAGGTTTTCTGGTATACACATGGACCAAAGCCCCTGCACCTTGAAGCCTGACTAGGCATTTCAAGCAATGACTCCACTCCCTTTCTCTCTGCTCTTCATACTGCCACTGTCTTAGTCCCTGAAGTTTCATTTGGTATTCTTTCCACCCACCACGAATGTGCATGCATCACTTGTCCTGAGTTATTTAACTCTCAGAACTTTTTGACTTTGAATATGCCCACAGTTTTCATGGTAATTCACTCCTTTTTTCACTTTTCTCCACACTGTGGATCCTTACTGTTCAGTCACTCAATTGTCCTTTAGAATAAATCCATTTCAATTCATTTTACAGCCTTGAAAGAAAAACCCAGGAGTGAGAGGAGGAGGCAGGAAGTGGCAACATTGTTGGCACAGTGCATGAGGATTTCATGGGCAGGGCTTAGTGAGATGGTGAAGGACAGGAGAGAGAGAGCGGTGTTGTCCTCTCACCTCTGACACCCTCTCACCTGGCTTTCACCTCCTGGCCCCATTCTTCTGTTGATGTGATCATGTATCCTTTAGGAATCATATAGCTCAGTTTGATCCAGATTTTTTTTAGGGCTACAATGCGTCTTCATGTCAGTGGAGGTATGGCTGGGAATGGTGACTCTTGAGTGTGTCCTGACTACACAGGCTTTTGACTTGTCCAGGAACTTTGGCTGCACCATCCATTTGGCTTGCCCTTGGGATTCTCACCTTTGGTGAGATAACTGTTGGCTTCTTCCACACTTCTCTTCTGTGTCACTCTCCTCCCTCCTTACCGGGAGCAGTGGAAAAGAATTACATCTGTGAAACACTTAGTTTCTAAGAGGGTCTTTTCATTTTAAGCCATTATCACCAATCAGATGATTCCCTCTTCGTGGTGTTGGGCTTCTTTACCGCTCAAGTCTGCCCATCTTCTGGTGGAGACAGAGGTGAGCGGAGAGAAATGGACAAAATAGTTCCATGAGCTGCTCCTCATATTTATTACCCTCTCCAAATTGAATCTTGAAGCCTTGTCAGAAGTGTTATTTTTCCAACAGAGCAGGCGTTAAGTGGCTATAGAAAATAAACTCACCACCTGATATCTTTCTCATTGCTTGCTACATCCATTTACTGGGAAGATTATATTGTAAGGTGTGACAGGAGGTGTTCCACAGCAGAGGAGAATCACCACTTTGTAATTCTATTTGTTCAAACTTCTTTTGTGCGGGCCTTCTGATTTCCTTGTCTTTTATGGAATTATTTCCTAAGTAGGGAGTACTTTTTGATATGAGTTTCTCCGGAAACTTCTTTCATCTGACTAATTTTTAAATCGTGTACACACTTTTGCATCAAGTCAAGCCATGTCGTTTGTAATAAAATTTCCACAGTTTGGCCAGGGGAAAGGAAAAGCTAGAACAAATGGTAACAATGACCCATTAATGGTGTTTCTTTTGCCTATTTTTTTAATGACTAGTATGTTCTCTGGCAAAAACAGATTATTTGATGACAGTGCTGCAAATACTTAGCTCCAGGCAAAAATTAGTTTCCATTTGACTGGATGTTTCATTTAATGAGAGAGCTTTTACTTATATCTGTTTTTTCCCTTTAACATAATTACCTTAAGGAAATAAATATGTACAAAGACAAATGAGTAGACACACTAGTCTTTATCAATGTTTGTTCAAATTATTGCAGTTCAGGGAAAAATGGGAATCTAGACTTGAGATGCCCTAGAAATAAATCTTTGCTTGTAGGTAATAGCTTTAGTTCGAGGATCTGAAAACACGTTATAAGCAATTAAACTTCAGAGTACAAATGGGAATTCTACATTGTTTATTGGTTAGATTAAGCTACGGAATTATGATTTAGGTTGGGGTCTTAGGAAGTCTTTTAGTTCTACAAATCTGCATAGTCCTTCTTCTGGATATTCATCTGTTTACTCAACTGTTTCCAGATCTTTTATTCCTGTCATATTTATTAGAAGATTCACTTTCTTTACTTTGGTCCTCTGACTTGCTCTTCAACCTCTGTGACTTTTGCTCCCCAAATGTTACGGCGCTTTCTAAGGTCAGTGGTGCCCTCCTGTAGCCCATCCCAAAGGCTGTTCTCAGCCCCCCTTGCGATACTTCTCTCTACCCCACTTGATATCACTGGCCACCCAAATCATTCCTCTCTTTTATTTATTTTATTTATTTTTTAAAGATTTATGTATTTATTTATACAAGCACTGGGTACAGTCAGAGGCGCGGGAGGGTGAGAGAATTCACCAGAGCCAGAGCGGGGAGCAGAGCAGGCAGAAGGACCGAGGTACACTGCTGAGGGGAGCAGTGGGCGGCAGGAGGGGTCTGTGCACCATGTGGCCGGGGATCGAACCGGCGCTGCAGAGGCTGCGGGCAACCTAGCGCTCAACCGCTGCACCACTGGGGAGGCCTACATTCCCCACTTTTAAATGTCTGCCTATTCTTGGTTTGGAGGACATTCACTTACTTTCCCTCATCCTCTTTCTCTAATTGCTCTTTCCTTCCCTATTGCTTTCATGCTGGTTCCCCCAAAAAGCTGGTTGCCCCGTCTCTCCTTCCCCAACACCTCCCTGGCTGATGGATCTTCTCTCATGGTTTAAGCCATGTCCTGCCTCTAACTCCAGCTTGCTCCTCAGTTCTCAGCTCCAGAACCACGTTTTTAAACTCCTCTTCCAGAACCCCTACTGGACCTCAACACAACGTATCCCACACCTGCTTGTCACCAGAAGTGAGCACAGTCCCGGCAGCCCCCGCACTGCCTCCTTTTCTGGCCTCCCTGCGTCCAATAGTCATTGGGCTCCTGCTTCTTCATCCTCATCCATCTGATCTTTCGCCAGACCCCACTGACTCTACCTCAGAGATGTTTTCACATCAACCTGCTTCCCATTGCAGTTGCCTTAGGTCCAGCTTTCTCCATCTCCTGCTTGTCCTGGCATCCTAAGCAGGGTCCTCATTCTCTTCTCTGCTTTCCTTCTGGAGTTCGTTCTCTAAAGACAGACCAGGTAGATGGACACTTTCTCTTCCTCATTTGTCTTCTGGGCACCTCCTAGGCCCTTGGCCAGGATTGGTTTGATGCGCATCTGAATGAATGAATGAATCTACAGGAAATGTAATGAGTGTGGCGCTGACCCATCTGTTAAAGGCACTTTGCTCGTCTAGATGGGGCTGTTTATCTCCACCTTGGTGTCTCTCCACCAGGAAAAGGAGAAACTGTATGTGGAACTAAAGCACATCCTGGCCCGGCAGCCTGGCCCTGAGGCTGTGGAACAGCTACAGATCTACCGCCACACGCTGCGGGAGAAGACCAAGCAGCTGAAAGTAAGCAAGCGCCCCTGCTGCTTCCTGGGCTGAGAATAGCTGCACTCTGGGGAGCACACCTGGACAATGAGCCGGTCTCCCAAATGCCATCCTCGTTACCTTTCTTAGATAAAGCCCCAGTCCCAAGAGGAAGAGGGCAAACTTCTGAGCTACCCCCTGTTGTGGGGCCACTAGACCCCTTCATTCTCCACACCCCAAAAAGGGAGAGGAGCAAGTGAGGAAAGGGATGGGGAGAAGAAGATGCCTTGGAGTGGAAATGAGGGGCACTGGGCTTGTGTGGCCCCTTTCAAGATGATGGGGAAGGATATTTTAATACCACTGCCCGCCGACGCGGACCACTTTGTGGGGATACACCTCACTTTGGCATGCTTTCCACGTTTTGTTCAGACGAGTGAGTGCCCACCCTCCTTGTCCACCCTGAGGCCATCCCCTGGGCACGACGATGTACCAGGTGGCTCATCAGGCACCGATGACAGCCGCTCATCTGCACTTGACTCTCCTGTGCACGGGATAGTGCCCTGTTTCTTAGAGGGGCATGTCCCAGGGCTGAGGTACAGAAAGCAGCTGTGCACAGGCCCCAAGGGCACTGTAGAGAGGAGGTAGGCATTTAGCACCACAGCCTCCAGACATGCCGTCTCTCACCATGAAATTGAATCTCTAGGTGGTGGCGGCAGCAGGATGATTCCAGAACACATTTTACCTTAATCCTCAAATGAATCGTGCTCCCTCGCGATGTCTTGAGTCCTTTTTAAAAGTCTTCGAAAGCAATTTCAGACTGTCTGGGAGTTTTTCTGTCTCTACTTACATTCCTTGAAACAGTCATACCACTCGCATATGTGCTGCCTGGTCCGAGTTCTCCTGTGCAGAGGAATGAGTGTTCACCTGTCACTGGATTGTGAGCCTTCAACTAGGCTTTTACCTGGACACAGAGCTTGAGCCAATTAAAACATTCAGATTAGCTATTAGACCTGGCGATAGTTTTGCAGCTATAACCCCACTGAGATAAATGGAAGATTAAAAAGAATTTTTGAGAAAAGGATATGGTCCCGGTGTGTCTCCTCTGTTAATGCTGTCTTATTTGCTATGTTAGGTTTTGTCTTCAGAACTGAATATGTATGAATCACAGAGCCAAGAATACAAGTATGAAATCGAGAAACTTACCAACGAACTGATGAATTTAAAGAAGAAGTACCTTGCTCAGAAACGCAAGGAACACGATCAGAGGTAAGATAGTTAAATGTTCTGATTTTGTTGCGCCTCTGACCTGCTGAGAAGGATGGACGTGGTACATAGTCGGAGTCCCATATTGCCCTTGGATAAAGCAAGGGCAGTGGCACAAATGGCATTTATTAGTTCGTATCAGAGCAAGATACGTGTCTTGTCTGGAACTGCGGCTCACTTTAGGAACCTATCAGGGATCTTTTCATATCTGAAAAGGCTGGTGGGCCTCACGTGCAGCAGGGGGAATATGTTTGCAAGTGATGTTCACAAGCAGCCATGTATGGGCTGAAGCATATTCACATTTAAAACCACAGGTAATTTTCCTAAGAGATCTGTTCTTTCTAATCATGCAGCTGTGCCACCTCCATTACAAGCGGTTCATGAATAATTTTCACCTGTTTTAGATAAATTCTCTCTGGGTTCTGTCCTTGTCTAGTCATAAACTTCAGTGTCTGCTCTGGGGTCTCAACCTGAGATCTTACTCTTCTAGGAGATGGTCATGCAGATACTATGTTGACATTTGGGCTTCCTGTGGAGAATAAATATTTTCTTCACTGGGTTTTCATCATTTGTCTAATCTCAGGGTGAGCAAGTGGGCCCAAGTAAATCAGTAGGTTTGAACTTTGGTTAGCCTCATGGCAAATTCATCGAGTTTTATTTTTGTAGTCATTTGTGTTATGGGCTGCAAGTCAAGTTTGCTTTTTCATGCACACGGACATTTCAGAGACGTGGTGAAAGATGGTTTAAATGTTTCCGCATTATGATTCACGAGTGGCAAATAGCTATTTAAAGTGGTGCCAGTAAAAATCTACCCTTCTTGTAAATTAGAACATCCTACTCTTGGTGGAATAAAACACCGCAGAAAATTATAGCTAATTTAGGTGAGTCTTTTAGATGAGTATGCCTCAATATGTGGGTCTAGCAACTGCCTGATTCTGAATCGCTGGTGAGATTTATTAAACATGAAGATTCCCAGGGCCCCATTTCCAGATATTTCCAGATATTTGTAATCAGCAGGCTCTGGATGGGTCTCTGAAATCTGCAGGCTCATTTCCCCTCAAGTGATTTCCATTCATGCTGAAGTTTGAGAACCACTGATACTTGCGATATGAATTAAATGAGTGGAAACACTACTGGTTTCTTTTACAATAGAACACCAATATTGTGCTTCTAAAATGTCGGCGTGGCTGGTTCCACATGAAACAAGCTGTCTAGCTCAGTGATCTTGAAGCTTTCGACTGCATACCCTTACCCATAAAACATTTTGAACTTTCAGACTTCCCCCCCTATTGTCTAAAAAATCTCTATTTTAGAATAATTTTTTACCTACAATATATTTTAATTTATAAATTATATGCAAATGTTATTACTATGCATAATTATTAAGTCAGACTTTTAATTTTTAAAGGTACAAATATAAACAGAAAGTCTAATATCTCTGTCTACCCCCCAAACCTACCCTGCTGTGGGTCTTCTCACTTGTCTTCTAGACTTCATGGACTCCATTTTGGAGACCTGTAACAAACAGTGAGCTTGGCTACAGAGTTAATTAGCTTTCTAGAGTTGAAAGCTAATTGAAAGCCAGTTGAAAGCTAGTTGAAAGCTTTCTAGAGTTGGCTTCTCTGCCTTGGCCTGGGGTTGGACCTAGTCTCCTTGGACCTAGTGGATCTCCCAAGTGTTGGGGAAGCAGAGAGCATGCTGAGCAACTGAGGGTGTGCTTTCCAATCCCAATGGCCCACCCTCTGGTACTGCACTGCCCCAGCCACATGCCATTCATGGCTATTTACATTTCAGTGAATCTCAATTATTGAATAAAAACATCAGTCCTTCATTTGCACTAGTCACACTGTGAGTGCTTGAGAGCCACACGTGGCTTGTGGACTCCAAGTTGAGCAGCCCAGAGCAAGAGCTTTTCCTTCATTGTGGAAAGTTCTATTGGATAGTGCTGCTCTAGAATCTTTGTCTTACCTGTCCTCCTCTTGTCCTTAAATGCTCATCACTCATAGCCACTCTGATCTGATTAGGGTTTCGTTGGTGGTTCCATTTAGTTGGGGGCCCATAAGCTGGAGGTAGACAGAGTGATGAGTTCATAGGAGATGAGCAAAGGAAAAAAAAAAAGATGAAGGTGCTGAAGGAAAATATGCAGAGGCAAGAACAAAAGTGCTGAGATGGTTTAGACTGCAAGGAAGAAGGCTGAAGGGAGTCATTATAATGGTCTATAAATACATTAAAAAGATAATATAAAGGAGGCATTATTCCCATTAGTCAGCTTAGACCAAGCCAGAAGCATTAAGCTTAAGTTCCTTCAGAGAGGAAAATTTAGGTTATTTCAGGCAAGAGAGGCCAGGGGGAGGAGGGAAACACCACCCGCATCTAAGACAGTCAGGAGGTGGACAAGTTGCCAAAGTACTTGAAGGAATCCTCTTTGTTGGATATACTCAAGGCTAAAGCTTTTGTCCTATTTATGGAGGATTTTTTTTTTAAATAATGTAATCAATTCGGCCAAGAGACAGCTGGATTGATTAACCAATCCTCTACAGGTCCTTTCCAAATGGAATAATTTAGAATAATCTCTGTGAATGTTTCCCCCACCCCCGACATGCTCTTTATAAAATAACTCTGATCATTTTTACCTTTTTACCTTCTTTTGTTTTTCTCAAATACCCTTCTTACCACACTCTAGTCCCACCTGCTTGCCCCCTGCCCCCTGCCAAGGGCCCCCAGATGGCTCAGAGTCTGCAGTGCCAGTCAGATTTTTTCCCATAAAGCAGAATTCATTCCCTAAGGTAAATCATTCCTAGTTGTCAACTCTAATTGGTTTCGGTCTTAGTAATTTGCTTAAGTTTTATTTTTAAAAAAGGATTACAAAGTTGTTCTCTATGAGATCTCTAGTTACATAATAGGTAATTTGTGTCCTTTTGAAGTACCTCAGCAGGCAACCTCTCTCTCTCTCTCTCTCTCTCTCTCTCTCTCTCTGAGTATAAGGGAAATCTGTATAGGAGATACACTTTAGATTTTAGGGTAGAATTCCCCTTATCTGTTGGCAAAAGTACTAGCTTTTTTATCTTTACCAGCTGTTTTTCATATCTTAAAGTATTTCTAATAATAGCTGCTGCTTGTACAAAGTGAGAGGAAAATTTGTATTTTATAAATGTCCAACTTTAATTAAGATACCTTATGTGTGGTAAATATTTATAAGTTTCCACTGGGACTTTGGAATATAAAAGTTGATAAATGATGAATTAGTCATTATAATTGAGCCAAGAGAAAGATTACTCTAACTGATCTTTGGAGCCAAACAAGTATTTTGTAAACGAGGAAGATGATCACAAGTCAGCAGCCTCAAGTCCATAGTATCTGGTTTATAATGAGCTCGGCTGTCCCTATTTAGATCAACGTTAGGAGGACACATTTAATTGTATTTTTCCCTAATTCTATGTGTTATCATTGAACACCTAATTGGATTTAAACAACCAACTTATCTAAAACTGGAAGCTTTAATCAAAGAAGTTTTCTGTGGCTAACTTACCCCAGGAATTAGGGTACATCAAACTTAGAAGAGGAAAAAGATGTTAAGGGAGCTGACTTTCGCCAATTCTCTTACAGAAATAAGGACAGAATATCCATGGATAATTCCTTCTCAGTGTCCAGACCAGCTGGTCCCCGTTTTACTGGAGGTGGATTTCCCCTCACCAGGCCATCCAAGGTCAAGTCCTAACTTGAAGCTGCTGACTGGGTCCAATTGAACAACTCATGAAATTCACAGTCTGGGACATGTGGCAGAATCGCTTTCAAATCTCTTGGATCATATTTAGGGAAATCAGCACTTGATGCCCCAGGATGGAAAGAAATGTGGAGCCATCATAGTAATGTACATATAAGAGTCTGAATAATGATGTTCTACTTGGTCCACATGGATATTAACAGATTGTAATTACATCTATTCAATTAGGCTGACCCATTGCATGAAGCAGATCTTTAGTTACCACCACGTTGATGGATCTGAAATGCACCCCATCTAGACATTCCATGTGGACAAAGCTTTGGATCTTAATTTCTCTACTATAGACATTGGTACACTTGAAAGATTTTACTGTTAAAACATAATTTTGAATGCAATGTATTCTTATTAATGAGAATCTATTTTAATTATTCCTCATTAATAAGTAATTGCATGAGATAAGCAAGAAGGACAAATTCTCAAGTATTTAAAAAGTGTTTTGAGAATGATTTTTATGTGGAATCTTTTTTAGGTCTGGGGTATGAATATCTATACCAAAGAGAAACATACTAATAAATACTTCATCATAAAAAATAAAAAAGAGCCTTTGTAGAGATTTTGCTCTTTGCTTTGGTAGAATACATAATTAAAATTTAAAGCTACTGTGAGGCTTTGTTTGACCTTTGTTTAACACAAAGATTTGATGCAGAGGAACCAAAACTATAAAATGAGGATACTGTCATTTCTAGGACTCACTTTGGAGAACAGAAGTACATTGGGCAAGAAACTGTTGGCTTCTAGACCACCAGCCAGCAGTTAGAACCTTGAAATTCATCGTGTTGTCTTTTGTTGAAACCACCATCAAGTGGGCATCGGTTTGAAGTTCGCTTGTTAATTGTGTCCATTTAGTGATGCCATGTGGGGATGCCATCTCTCTCGTAATAATTAGACATCTGTCATTTTTAAAATGTCATTGAGAAGTAGCTCAGGGATGATCAAGGATAATCCCTGCAGACCATTCCTTTGTGCTCTGTGACTGAGTTTCCCATTGTGGGAAGCAGGAGATGCAGTGACCCACTAGGTTTATTTGGGTTCAGAGAGGTGGGATTCTCCAGGGATCTTCTACAGGTTTAAACCTTCTCAGTTCACTGCCAGAAGCAGCCCAAAGCAAGGATCACCATGAAAGTGATTGGTTATGGAGCGATCGCAGGAAAACCAGCAAGAGGACAAAACTGGGACAAGGAAAGGAAGGGAGGACCAACCCTTGGTCAAGTTTCATGGTGGCTGGATCTCGTGGGGGGCTCTGGAGACCTCAGGGTTGCCCCCCTTGCGAGTGAGGGAGCTGGGGTGTTTATATCTCCCATGCTGTCAGTCAGAGGTCAAGGACTGCTCTGGGGGTATCCTCCAGGGTCTCTCTGATTGCAGGCGGAGCGGGATCTGGCAGTCTGGGGGGAAGCCCTCTCACAAAGACATTGCAAGTGCTGACTACGAGAACTACAGAAGTGATTCGGGGAAATGGCCCGGGCAGCATTATCCTCTGTGGCTTCTCCAGTGGGAGAAACACAGATGAAAATTGACCTGTGTGGACGGTGACCTGTGGTGAGGTGATTGTCAGCACACAGACGGGGGTCTAGAGGAAGGGCTTGTATCCTAGGGAATTTAGAGAGCACTTTAAATCTCAAGAATCACAGCGGAGCCTTTTACGTTTCTGAAAATCACTGATATTTTCCCTCAGAATCAACCACACATTTTTAAGACAAAAGATTTGCAGTTAAGGTAAAACAGTTGTGATGCATACCCAACACTGACACTTTCCCGTCCATTCAGTGCAGCTTGAAGCACAGCCATTGCCAACTTCGTCCTGAGTCCTAGACTTTATAGGCACTTCACTTTTCTAGGGCGCTTGGGTCTGTGATTCTCACTCTCCCAATATGATAGACTCTGGAGTCACATCCCATTTATCATAACAATGGGTTGTGTTAAGGATCAAATGAATTAACACATGTAAGCTTTAGGACAAGATCAGGCACATAATAAATGTTCAGTAAATATCTGCCATTATAATTACTACGTAAGCGATACCTACTGTTTTGAAATTAGAAAATAAAAGTTGTTACCTAATACTTTATTACATCAGCTGTAAAAGTGAGTCTAATCTTCATTCAGAGGATGGAAGACACTAAAATATCTGGGTGAAGTTGGATCGGGTAATGCAATTTATAATTGGATGACTTGTAGAAATGCCATATGGGGTATCTCATGAAAACTTCTGTATATTTTTTCTTGTAATTGACATCAGGGGACAGATCCTTCACTTTCTGAAGTCAGGACTTCCAGAGGGAAAGAGCTGCCACCTTCTTGAAATGGAATGGAATGGGGCATCAGCCTCTGCAGCTGTGGGCTCTGGTTGCTGACATGCAGCTCTGTAGACTCAGTGCAATTCTGTTCAAGGGGGGGAGTGAATTAAGGCCAGTAGAGGTAGAAGACACTGGACTGTCTCTCATTTACTGCACATCCTGTGAGCCCAGGGTATTATAAGCAATAACTATTTAGGTGCAGGTGTTAGCACTGGAGCCACAGTACAAAAATGAGCTGTTAAATACACAGAGATTTGCAAATCATTAAAGATAACTGTGAACTCACAGTGGGTCGAGGTACTTTTAAAATCACAAATTTAAGCTGTATTGTAAAGCAGCATTAGGAGATCGTACAGTAGCATCCTTTTACCCTGGGGTTTTCGGAGTTTCAAAAAGGAGTCATGTTGCTCTACCAGCCATTGACTCTCGGCTGGGCTGATGGGGAACTGGTGTGGTTTCTCTGTTGATAGAGAGAGACATGATAAAGGGGACTCCCCTGTCATTATTTGCTGGTCATAGCTTCTCAGCAATTGCTCTTACAGTCCGGTTTTTATTGTGCTTACCTCTGAAGAAATTGCTCAGAGCAAAGGTTTGTTGCTGTGATAAGCCATGAAGACGGCTACTCAGGCTAATAGGAAAAGGCAGCAACTCTCCTTGTCATGGGGCGCCATTTTGCTATAAAAATTTATCCAAGGTTGATAATTATCATTTGATTTCCTGGCTTACTAAACCAGAACCCGAAGTTCAATGTAGGCCAAAATGCCCATTGGAAAATATTATATAATGAATTTTGAGCAGTATGTCATTGCAGACCTGGATAATTTGAGGAAACTGTTTCTCAAACATAATCAATTATATGGAGATGTAGTTGGAACAGGGACAAAGAGAGGACATTTTTCAACATTAAACGGTAAAATAGTTTAAAAATATATCTCACTATTTTCTTTGTAGTAGATGGAAAATGTTTTTATGGCAACGTCCATTTTTAACTTCTAATTCAATGCTGTTTTAGTACACCATTTCTCATATCTATTATTTAAAAGTTCCATTAGGGTTTTGAGACCCATTAGAATTTTATAACAGTGTGAAATGTGATATCAACAGTGTGCCATTTTTCTTTTTTATAATTAAAAATAGATTTTCACCTCTTATTTTAAAGTACCTGACTAAAAATATGGATAGAAATTTAAGAAACACAGATGCAATAAAAAAAAAGGATATGAATAATCCCACTGGTAACTATTACCAATCCCTATTGGTAATTGTTGTCTCTCTGGGCTATCACTTGGAACTTTTCACCCTTGTGAAAAGGGTGTGCCAATGCTTCGTGCCCATGATTTGTTCTGATTGATTGGTACTTATAATTTCCCAATTATTAAGTGTTTCAAATATCATCTTTGAAATACAACCATTTTATAATTTTTCTGTGTATCTTTCTGGACATTTACAAAAAATATACATAGATATATTTGGTTTTTAACAATCAAAGATATAACTGAGGTATAATTTACATATGATAATAGCATATTTTAAGTACAATTTGATAGTTCTGATAAATACTTAAGCCCAAGAAACCACTGCCATAGTCACCATCCTCCCAAAAATGTCTTTATGCCCCTTGGCCGTCAATATCCCTAGCCCTCATCTAACCCAAGCAATGATGGAATGATGGATCTGTTTATCATTTTATGTTATTAGTATTTTATTCTTTAGAATTTCATATAAATGGAATCATACAATTTGTTCTTTTTTTGTGCCTAGCTCCCATTTTCCCCCCATGTAGTATAATGTTTTCTTGAGATTCAACCGTGTTATATGCATCGGCAATTTATTTTATTGCCAAGTAATATTTCATGATACTAACATAACACAATTTGTTTCTTGATTTACTTGATGAGAAATCAAGTTGTTTTCAGCGCTTAGACATTATGGATAAAGCTGCTATGAATGTTCATGTACAAGTCTTCACGTGGACAATTATTATCTTTTCTCTTGGGTAAAAACCGAGAAGTAGAATTGTTGGATCGAAGAATAAGTAAGTATACATTTGACTTGATAAGAAACGCAGATTGTTTTCCTAACTGATTGGACCATTTTACATCCTTAACAACAATGTGTATGAAGTCTAATTACTCCAATCCTTGCCAATATTTGCTATTGTCAATATTTTTTTAAGTTATTCTGTTGACTATATAGTGATATCTCATTGTGGTTTAGGTTTGTATTTCCTGATGTTTAATACTTCCAAGCACCTTTTCATGTGCTTCTGGCCATTTATATGTCTTCTTTTGTGAAGTGTCTTTCAAAATTTTGCCCACTTTTTATCTTGCCCATTTTATTAGGTAGTGTAAGTTCTTTGTCTCTTCTGGATGCAAAATCTTTGTCAGATATATAAATAATATATATACACTATACATAAAATATATCTATATACTATATATATAACATTTGTGACTTACCTTTTCATTTTTTTTTGCAGCATATTTCAATTTTTTAAAATTTTTATTAGGCATTTTTAATTTTAATAAGGACCTTGTTTTTCTTATGTAGTATGTATTTTCCCTGTCTTTTTTTAAGAAAATATTTATTTATTTATACAAGCACTGGGTGCTGTCAGAAGTGCGGGAGGGTGAGAGAATTCACCAGAGCCAGAGCGGGGAAGAGAACAGGCAGACTGATAAAATATACTGCTGAGGGGAGCAGCAGGCAGCAGAAGAGAGGTCTGCGCACCATGTGGGACCCTCGCCCAGTGGCCGGGGATCGAACCGGCGCTGCAGAGGCTGCGGGCAGCTTCGCAACCCAGGGCTCAACTGCTGCACCACTGGGGAGACCCTATTTTTCCTGTCTTAAGTATTTTTTGCCTCCAAGACAGTAATGATTTTTTAAATCTGTTTATCTCTAGAAGCCTAAGTGCTTTTTTTAAAAAAAAAATTGAAGCAACTTTTTTTATAATGTAGGTTTCAGGTATACAGTATTATAATTTGATATTAAATATACTATATTGTAATCTAGTTCACATCTTCCACCATATAATTAGTCCCTTTTATTCACCCCCTTCTCTCTGATAACCACCATTCTTAACAGTTGAGGAGATTGTTTTGAGTTGTTTTGAGTTGATTTGATTTGTTATTTCTTCATCTTCCATAGGTGAGTGAAAACATATGGCATTTGTCTTTCTGTGTCTGACTTATTTTAGTTAGCGAATACCTCAAGGAACTGTGGCAAAAAAGGGGCAAGGTTTAACCCTTCTTTTAATAGCTCAGTGGAAATCCATTGTGTGTACATACCACATCTTTATCCATTCATCTGCTATTGGGCATTTAGGTTGTTCTCAAATCCTGGCTGTTGTCAGTAATGCTGCAGTGAACATAGGGGTGCAGATAGCTCTTTGAATTTGTGTATTTGTTTTCTTCAGGTAAATGCTCAGAAGTGGAATAGCTGGATCATTTGGTATTTGTCTTCTTTATTTTTTGAGGAATGTGCATTTTTTTTTCCTTAGTGACTGTACCAATTTACATTCCCACCAACTGCATACAAGGGTTCCCTTTTCTCCACACCCTGGCCAACAATTACCTCTTGTCCTTTAAATACTAGTCATTTTCACAGAAT